AAATTGCTTGCGAGAAGTTTTGAATTTTGAATAGAAAAAAGTAAGTTAAAGTGAATAAATTTAAATTTTTGGTACAAATGCTATTTGCAAGCACTAAGCAACCTTTTAAAATTAGTTTATTTTCGTTCCATTTATTCAAAAAACGTTCCATTTTCATCAGTTTCTCTCATCACACCATAACGTTCATGTTACATAAACAGCAAACTCGAAAGAAGTGAGAAAAAGCAAGTGAGAACTTTTCGAAAGAAATCGTTCGAGTTTACATAAACGAGCTACAGATTGACTTTCTCTTGCAAAAAATTTCGTGAACCTTGGTAACCCTACTTCGATAAATTCCATTCATTAATTCCAAGAAGTGAATGTATGAAAAATCAAATAGATAAACAATTAAAGAACTCTTTAATAAGAAAATGTTAAATTAAAGACATAATTATTTTAAATGTCACCAAGTTCTCCCATTCAAAAAGTGTGGAAGCCAGAGTGTAAGATTTATATTTTATATATATATTTCAAATTAATTGGTTTGCGATATTTTAGTGTATAAAATACAACTCGAGGCCCCTACACCGAAACCATTACGACGTACTGAACCAATTACTGGTTTAGGTGAGCCCTGTTATTATGGAACTGAATATTTTGGTGAAATGGGTCATCAGGTAATTATATTTAGACAAATTCAAAAATAATACAATATATAATTAAATATATATATTAGGCAGCAGAATCATTGCTTGAAAATACTCCAGATGGTTCCTATTTGTTACGGCGAAGTCCAAATGCACAAGAGTATTATACATTAAGTGTACGATTTAATAATCGTACAAAACATTTTAAAATATATTTTAAAACTGGCGAAGGGCACTATTTGCAAGAGCAAGCAAAGCATTATGATACGATACATGAACTGGTGGCAGATGGTTTAATAAACTTCCATATGCAACTCCATGCAGCACCGATAATACAGCAAATTAATCAACAAACGCGAAATTGCTACCAGCAAAGCCCATATATGACTTTAAACAGAAGAAAATTACGCGCCCTCTCAAACGAACTTCGCAAGTCAATAATAGCTAAAGGTAATTGTGAACCAGATGCAAAAAGTGGCAACAACATTGCTGTGACTAATTCCACTTCAAGCAAAGACAATGATGCAGATTTAATATTGCCACTTATCTATGAGAAAGCGCATACATTTAAAATACACACATTTAAGGGTTTGAATTGGTGCGAGTTCTGTGCAAATTTTCTATGGGGCTTCACAGCGCAAGGTGTGAAATGTGAAGCATGTGGTTTTGTAGCACATTCTAAATGTTCTGAATTAGTTCCAGCAAAATGTGTTCCAGATCTAAAAAGAATACGAGGAGTTTTTGGCACAGATCTTACAACAATGGTGCAATTATATCAGTGTCTAATACCATTCGTAGTGAGACGTTGCGTTGAAGAAGTAGAAGCGCGTGGAATGTTACAGGAAGGTATTTATCGTGTTTCTGGATTTGCTGATGAAATTGATGCACTAAAATTAGCTTTGGATCGCGATGGTGAAAAGACTGATATGTCAGAGTCAACATATGGAAATATAAACGTTATTGCAGGAACACTAAAGTTATATTTACGTCTGTTGCCTGTGCCTTTGATAACATTTCAAGCTTATCCCAGCTTCATGCAAGCGGCACGTAAGTATATTGTTATTTTCCATTTTTATACTCAAATTTATGATAATTAATTTATTTAGGAAATACCAGCATTTCTGATCAAATACGAAACACAAACGTAGCTGCCAAGAAGTTGCCTTTAGCACATTATAATTGCCTTAAGTTTATGATGGAACATTTGAAAAGGTAAAAAGAAGAATTGCATTTAAGAAACACTTTTAATTATATATTAATTATTTTTTAGAGTTGCTTCCCATTATGCTGCCAATAAAATGAATGAACACAATTTAGCTACTGTGTTTGCGCCAACTCTTATAGCCACTCCGCAGCATATGACTAATTTAACTGAAGAAATATTTATGTTATCGTCACTAATAACAAACTGCGAAGCAATTTTTAATTAGTAAGCAAATTTAACAAATTTCCAATTAGCACACACATTTTATATATTGATCGCATGCATTATTATTCCACGAAATTACATTTCTGTAAGCTTAAGTTAAGGACTTTTATATGTATTTTATTTATTATGAAAATGTACAACATGCAATAATATTAAGTCTACAAAGACCACGAATTTATATTAAATTTATATATAATTTAAAATAATTGAATTTTTGGAACAAAATTTTACATTTCTATAAGTATATTTATTATTCTATAAACAATGTGTATTATAAATCATGATATGCAATAAAAAAGAAGCATTACAAATTGTTATTTTAATTTGTATAAATACATTGTGCGTTGAAAATATGTACTAAGAAGGCTATTTCATTACTGTTTGGGTATGAATTTTACCCTATCGACTTTACATTACTGTAGCTTAATTTTTTTCAAGTACTTATTTTAATTATCATCGCCATCCTGCGTTTGAGTCAATATAATCAGTACCGAATCAAAATTATAGGAAATATGGTGTAGTATTTTGCGGTGGTATGACTCTCTCTGTCTCAGGGACAGCCCAAAATATACTTGTTGATCGATCTGTGGCAGTTTGGAACTTTAATATAGCTGCTACGTTACCACAACGATAACAATAGTTTGGTGCCGACCACACTGTCACTAACTTTCCATCAAACATATATTTTATGCCTTCATTCACTAACTGATGAGCACGACAAATTAGCTCCAAATTATTTATAGACATAAAATCTTTTGTCACTAATTGACCAAAAAGCCAACCAGCGCCTCGTGGACTTTGTCTCCTTTAAAAATCAATTTTAAAAACAATAATTCACACAATAAGCACAGAAACTTTGTACTTACCAAAGGTCCATGTCTTCTGGATCTGACCAAACTAAATCACAGAAAGCACCTTTATAAGGTATTTCGCCATTTCGCTCAATGGTGCGTATTTGATCTAGGGTAATAATTTCTGGACTTAGTCCTCCATGCACGCATAACACCTCCTCGTCAATAATCTAATTACAAAAAATATTTACATCATTATTTAATAATATATATTTATTAAATTTTATCTTACCGCTGCTACTGTTAATAAATCAAACACTTTGCAGCAATATTTCCAAGCATTTGAGTTTCCGTATTTGCTAAAGCACTCATCATAAAATCCATATACTTTAGTAATTTGTCTGGATTCATGGTTCCCTCTTAGTAGCGTTATGCGATCTGGATAACGAGCCTATGAGAAAAGCAATTTATTGATTTCTAAAAATATGTCAAGATTTCACAATACCTTCAGCGTCATAAGTCTTGTAAGTGTTTCTAAACTATAATAACCCCGATCTACAAAATCTCCCATAAATATATAATTAGTATCGGGCACTGGACCACCAGTTCTAAACAGTTGCTCCAAATCATAGAACTAAAAATACATCGAATATAACAACCAGCATAATCAAAGATTATTTCTTTTATTACCTGCCCATGAATGTCACCACATACTGTAACAGGTGTACTAACTGGTTGAATATTCGATTCCTCCAACAGAATTTCACACACAATATCACATAATTTTTTCAAATCATTTTCTGGCAAATACTTGCAGTCCTTAACTATTTCCACCCATTTATCTAGATCAGTCATGTTGAACGCAGTATTCAGGAAAACTTGGGTAAATGCAACAGAAAAATCTCTTGTTGTTGTTGTTTTAGTTGTCAACGTGAAATATGTCTCTCTGAAATGAAAAATGTTGCCACACTGCTTTTATTTGCATGCATGAGATCTGAGGTTATCTTCATTCAACTTAATTAAGTGCTGCAGTTATAATAAATATATATCCAGTTCCAATTAACCATGATGGAAAAGCACCAGACTTATCATAAAAAATAAAAAATTTCAGTTTAGTAGAAAAAATATTCTCTTTTATACTTAAATGTTGTTGATATATGAGTATTCTAAATTCATAGTGGTAGTCGAAATAACGTTTCAAGTGCCCCTTATTTGAGGTCTGTTCCACGAGCTACTCGTAGTAACTTTGAGTAACACTATGTATACACAAGCACGGTTGCCACTTATGGTACTTTAGTACCAAAATTGGTACTTTTTTTTCCGTTTGGTACTCTGGTACTCATGTTCAAAATGGTACATTTCGGCGACCCAACTTTATTGTGGATATTGTATTGTTTTATACTTTTTGTACATTTTATATAAATTGTATTTTCTTATAAAAAGACAATAGAAAAATTTTGGACCTTTTTTTACAGAAATGGTACCTTTTTAAACCAATTTTGGTACAGAAAAAAAGTGGCAACCGTGTACACAAGTGCGTTTCACCAATAAATTTTCAAGTAAATAAAAGCATCTGAGAGAGACTACATCTCTGTCGACTTTTGAAAATACACAGACTTAACTCGTACATTTTATTTCAAGTAAAATTTTTGTTGATTTGTAAATCAACTGTTTTGCTTGAAATTTAAACTGGTGTTCTCAAAGCTTTTCCATGAAAATCTGTGTAAAGAGCGTAATTTGGCACTTTATATGTGTTACGCTCTCAGTTTGTACTTTACTTGTGTTTTATTTGATTTTTACGACGAGTAGCTCGTGGAACAGAACTGTAATTAATCTCTATCGTTACACACCATATATATTGCCTTTTATCAGCCAAAGAAAAATTATTTTTTTAACTTATATACTTATTACTAATAGTATTTAAATTTATACAATATTATCAGCTGATATAAAAATTGATCAATTGCATTGCATTTCTTTGTGTGCGGGATATTTGGTGACCGGTTTAATCTTCTGTTATATGTTTATAATTTGCTGTCATATTTACTCACTTCTTTAGAGTTCTGACGTTTACATTTTCAACGTTCGCTATGTCTGCATAATGAATTCAGTATTCAAAGGTAAATCTGGCAATTGCAACTTTTCATGTTGAGAACATATGGGCGTAACTTATAATGAGACACAAAGAGTTTCATTTTACTTGATCTATTAATTTTAAGAGTTCTTACGGTTTTTGAAGCAGAATGTTGCAATTCATAGTTGTAATGTTTTATACTCAATTGTTTAAAAATCTAGTATAACATTAAGTTACAATAACAATGCCATATATTTCTTAACATGCAGTGAATAAAATCTTTCTGAAGTCTTTACAACAGGTGTGTCCAAAGTACGGCCTAATGTTTGTATGGCCCGCGTTTGTTTGTTTTTTATCTACTACAATTACTCAAATTTTCTTTTGGTGCACTGGTAACACTATATTATTATATTTCTATGATATAACAAATAAATGAATTTAAATTGATAAATTAATAAAACTAAATTTAACGTTATAACCATATTTATAATATGATCTATTTATAATAACAGCTATGAGCGTACGTATTATTTTCTGCTGCCCTCCAACCTGTACAGTAATTTGTATTGGCCAGCGATCGCATATTTTCTGGACAGCCCTGCTTTACAATATTCAACAGAATTAATTTTTGTTTTATTACACACACCATATAGATATCCATATTATAATATATTTATATTATTGAAAAATAAAAAACGTTTTGGTTATTAAAATTAAGAAAAACTGTTTACTTTTCACGTGCTGCACTACATGTTTGATCTGCTACAATGCAAGGCTTCGAACATGATTGTTAACTCATAGACAGTTAATGTCAATGACGTTAAGCACTCTGACAATTCTTTTCATCGTATGCCATACCTGTTTTATGCTTAACAGAATGTTTGTTATTAAATAGAGTTTTGTTATTAAATTTTAGAATATTTGTTTAAAAAATGGCTTGCAGATTATGTTTAAAAGATATAAGTGACAAAACATCTATACCATTGTTTGTCGAAAATAGCAATACTCAAACAGAAATACATAAAATGATTACAAATTTTTTTGATTTCACTGTAAGTATTGAGATATACATTGACGAAACAAATTATCAATGAATTTGGTTAATAGATTTCGTATGACGATGTTAACTCAACGAATATTTGCGAAGATTGTGCTAATAAAATAAAAGCATTTGAAAACTGGCGTCAGTATATTCAGAATCAACAAAATAGTTTGCAAAATGTGTTTGTTGAAGTAAATTGTTGTTCCAATACAAAAACTGAAGAACTCGAAGACATCGCGAACCCAAAAATAGAAGATTTTTATTCTGATGACGATTTTGACGTTGTTAACTGCAATACTTTTTTAAGTGGTAATAATTAACATAAAAATCTTTACAAAATTAATATTTTGCTATTTTTTTAAGATGATGAACATAATTTAATTAATGATTGCGTTAAAGAAAAACATTATGTGGGTATTAAAGGCAACCTAATTACCAATATTGATGGGAACGACGAATTGGAAGAATATAACAACATAAAACTTGACTTATTTTCAAATGGTAATAATTATATTTTTTAAGATTTTATATATTTGACAAAACATATATACGAATTTTTTTAATATACCCGTAAACATAGATGACGAAGTTCCCTTACTAAATTTTGTATTGAGTAAATCAAAATTGAAAAATTCTAAACATGAAAAACGCATTAATACCAATACTTTATGTGAACCTATTCCTTCAACTCAACATAATAAAATTAAAATCGTAGAAAGCTTTATACAATTAACATGCGATGTATGCAAAATTAGCGTTGAATCCTACGACGCCTTACAAAGTCATTTTAATCTTCTCCACAACATTCCTCCATATGTGAAGTGTTGCAGCAAAACATATACAAAACTTAATCGCTTAGTTGAGCATATTGAATGGCATCAGAATCCAGAGAAGTTTAAGTACACTTTTATAAATAATTTCAATAAAATATATAGTATTAATATATTTATCTATTTTCAGATGTACTATATGTAATAAGTTAACCAGTTCAAAGTCATATTTAGAAAAACATATCAATTCTCATAGTTTGAGAGAAAGGCCAAAACGAAGTTGTTCTATTTGTAATAAGGAATATCGAGGTAGCAAGTGTTATAGAAGTCATAACCTAGAGGAAAAAGATATAATGGAAATAAATTGTGATTTATGTAATAAATGGTAAAAAGTACTTATTAAATAAAAATAAATTTTATTCTTATATTATTTAAATAATACATTATTACAGTTTTATGACACCTCAACGTTTACGCCGGCATATCGATTCAATACATAATAACATTTGCCCTTATGTATGTGATATATGTGGAAAAAAATATAAATTTAAACCCTCGTTTGATAGACATGTACTTGAACATCAAGGAATCGTAGAGCCTCCACAACAGTGTGATATATGCAATGAATGGTTAAAAAACAAACATAGCTTGCGATTGCATCGTTTTACGCATATGGATATCAATACGGATTGTAAAATTTGTGGGAGAACTTGTCCAAGTAGAACAGCTTTATTACGTCATGTAAATTACTCACACAAATTGCAAAAGAATTTATCCTGTAATTACTGTGATAGAACATTCAAGCAAGAAAAAAATTTAAAGGTTTGTTGCAATAAAC